TTGAGCGTCATATTTTATCATATTTTAATTTAATTCTAATAAATTGAGATCATTTTTTATACAATATGCCCAAGTCTTTCTAGGTCTACCTCTGTCTTTCTTAATATAAGTCGAATATAAAACATCTACTCTTCAAACGGGATCATCAGAAGGGTTGATGTTTGATGTGACCAAACCATCTAAGACGACTCTCTCTAATTTTGTCTGCCACTGGAGCTACACCAACCCTACACGGATATATTAATTTCGTGTTTTGTCTCTAAGTGTAAAACTACTCATCCACCTAAGCATTCTCATCTCGGCAAAACTTAACTTGGTTTTATGCTTCTCTTTTAAAAGCCAACATTTTGTGCCATAGAGCACTGGTCTCACCACCATCTTATAAAATTTTCCTTTCAGTCTAAGTGGTACTAACCAACTTGAATTCTACAAATAACATCCACATCTATATTACCGTCACTTTGAACAATAGACCGGAGATATCTAAAGCTAACTTACAATATTGAAAAAAATATTTCAAACATAAAGAAAAAAGTTTTCCACCAAAGCTAACTTATAAACAATTTCCAAATGCAATACTGCTGAAACAAATTAGTGAAAGAAGCTTCATAAATTGACACTTTTGAGTTCCATTTAGTTTTTTAGGCTTACAAGTAGCAACTCCTATGGTTGCCTTCTTCATAAACCTATATGTCTAAACCTCATCTTTGTGGGAAAAAACATGCAAAAGGGGTTTTACAGATTACTAGCTTTTGATTACTAGGGGTTTTAAGTTGAGTTTTCTTTTACATCAATTCATGACCTCATTTGGCAACACATTTGCTTTCAAAGAGCAGCAAAAATATTAAATTGAAAATAAAATCCTTACAAAAAAGAAAAAAAAACAATCTAGACTTGAGAAAATGAACAAGAAAAATGCCACGTCAACAACAATAAAAGAAGCCTTAATAAATTTAATTATAAACAAGTTATACCTTGCTTTAGAAGAACTCTCCTGAAGATTATTCTTTAAACGCCTCATCCCCTCCAAAGAAGAAGAAGGAAATTGCTTTGTTTCAAATGTAGAAGCTGAGGAGTTCTCAGTGGGTGCTCCAAATATAGAACTCATAGCCCTTTTCATCTCTCCAGGCCGATTTAACTTTGGATCTGGAGCAACACCCTTAAGATCAGAAGCAAGAGATTGCAATAAGCAAGTCATGTCGTCTTGGGATGTTGTGCTGCTAAACTTTGATATGTTGTGAGGTGAAGAGAATATGCGATCTGAACCCTCACGAAAGCTCCCTGATTTCTCTAGAGCTGAAATTGTATATGGCGCTCGATGCCCGTTGCCATAATTAGGCCCATCAGATCTGCTCGAAGGCAAATCAATTCTTCCATTTGTGGCCATCTAAAAGCCTTATGTTAGCATTTAGGTTACCAAAATTTCAGAAAAATAGGAGAACAGAGAATGTAAGGAAATGTAGCTTGCAATCATTGGACTTAAGAGGAAGTCTATGCAGTATCTAAGTAACTGAAAAATACAATAGAGCCTGCAAAGCCAATTTTTTTTTCTTTAGCGAAACATTTTAACCATCTGCAATATATAAATAAAAAATTTAAAAAATTAAAAAAAAAAAAGAACTTTTGGAGCAAGGAACACAAAACTGCATAAGTTAGAAGGAGAAAAAATAACATAAAGGAAGATTTACATACATACCACTCAATTCCTATGTATTTACACATCTAACACCTAAACTTCGATTTTTACAGACATATCACCTTACCTATGCATGAAAAGGTGTATCTCACTTTCTTAAACAGTTAAAATGGTGGTAATTTTGATGTGACGAGAAAGATTTGGGAAGTACAATTATAAAAAGTAAAGTTTAGGTTTTAGATATGTAAACAAATAGGAATTGTGTGGTATGTATATAAATGCCCCTAACATGAATAGATTGCAATCTAAGAAAATAGTTGTAAAGACAGATCATTGTAGTATAACAAGGTTACATAATCCAATCTAGGTGATGTTGAAACGAAGTCTTCCTGTTTGCCCAAACATACCCATTGATATACCTTCAAAGATGATTGTTCAGGAAAATATTATACATCAATATATCTCATATATTACCAGCCTCTCAATTATCCGGAAAAGAAAATTCTATTGGCGCTAATTAAAAACATTCAACGTAGAAACAAACCTACAATGCTAATTAAAAACTTTGCACAATAATATAAAATGAGAACATCAAAAATTCCTATGAAGACAGCCAGATTCGGCAATGTTCTAGAAGAAAACAATGTTTAGCTTCTTAATTTATGTACAAAAAAGGAAATGTACAAGAATAAGGTCAAAGCATAGAAGATAACCAAGTTGCAGCAAACTACATAGCATCCAGATCCTTTAAATATCTCACAGCCAAATCTTAATTGTTTTCCAAACCTCAAACAAAGCAGCGCATCACAGCAACCAGTTAAGTAAAGCTCACATCCCAAACTCCATTAACCAACCATATTTCCCTATTGTCAAAACATATATTGACGCACGAAATTTTTCTTTGTATAGCTGACCCAACTAATCAATAGAAACGCATTACAACAAACATAAAATGGAACATAAATTCCCCATCAAAAGAGCATCCGAAACAAGGGACAATTAACACTAATCCCATCCAGATAAAACCCTAATGAAGCTCTAGTCCAAAACAATGAACATTAACCGGAACTGCAATTCAGTTATTCAAGCAAACAAACCTAAAATCCGCCCGCATGCTCCAGTGGAAATTACAACAGGGATCGAACGAATAGAACAATTAGCTCGCATGGAATGATGCAGAAAGAGTAAAGAGATCACCTTTGAAGCAGAAGATCGAACTGATCATCTAATAATTTCGCCAATTTCGAAAATTTCTCGCTCAGGAGATGTTGAGAGCAAGCTAAACCCGGTAAAAATTATGCGGTCTTGCGAAAAAATTACGAAGTCTACGGCAAAGGCGACAGGTGTCGCCAAATGTGAAGCCGGGTTTAACAAACAAGACCAGCCCAGGGGTATTTTGGGAATGTAAGAATGTAGAGTCTGTTTAATTTAGCGACCAGGTTATCAATTTGCGATTTGCAAGCAAAGCGGGAGGCACAAGTAGTTGCAACATGGAGAAAAATTCAGAAAAGAAATTGGGATTAGTTAACTTGGATGAGAATAGAATATTAGATGTAATTTTAGGGGTATTTACACATTACACAATCCTTATGTATTTGCCTATATTACACCTATGTATTTTCATTTATTAGACCTAAATTTTAATATTTAGGATCAAAGCACTTAAATTTTAAATATAGCATTATTACTAACTTTTTTAATAGGAAAATATACTTTCATGCATATATTTATGACACTCAAATATTTTTTTATGTAATTATGAAAGTTTTGAGCATTATATATGTAAATAATAAGAATTGTGTGGTATCTATGTACATTTCTCTTGATTTTATTTGTGAATGATGATGATGCCTTATTAGTAAGTGATACATAATGTGAAGTTTTGATGATATTTGAGGTGGGACCATCTAACTGTAAATGAGTTTAAGCGCATGGGGATTGTTGAAAGTTTGGTGATGTTTGAAGATCCAAACACACGGAAAATTCATATAGCGAGCTTATGGATGAAAGGAATCGACAAGCTTTTTTGTCGCTAAATTTCAAGATCATAAAAGCTCTTAAATGTTGAAAAAAGTTATCAATGATTCAAAAAATTAACACAAATTTTTCATGGAGAGTTATAATATTATGATTAAAAGTATCAAATTATTACTTCTAAAAATTATAATTAAATGTTATTTTTCACATATAGCTGGAGTGTTGACCTTGACCTTAATTTCAAGAAGCTTTGAGATTTTAAAATTTAGAGTTGTGCTTAACATTTAATGTTAAAAACAACCATTAGCAAGTACTTCAGTCAATCATTATTATTTGATTATTGTTATCTAATTGTTATCACTTTTTAAATCCACACATCTTGAAAGCTAACACACCTAGCGTGCCCAAGCCGAGAACTACACTAACCAAACTTTAGGTGGACCAAATAGAATCATAAGCAGCCTTCGACCACCTAACTTGAGCCCAAGACTATGAGAAATATCCAAAATGTATTATCCTATGGTCATATCTAACATGGGCATGAAATCATAACTTGCATGTGGCCAGAAAAATAAACATCCAACTTGCATTGGCCATGAAATGCAAACATTCAACTTGTATAAGACATGAAATATAACCCGTCAACTTGCATAGGTAATAAAACATAAACATCTAGCTTACATAGACCATAAAACATAAAATCTAACTTGCATAGGCCATAAAACATAAACAGTCATAAGAAATTTTTGCCTAAGGTATGGATTTAAGCATGTGATATTTTGAATGGGAGATGCTACTAAACATGTGACACATATGTTTTTTCATGGTAAATCCCTAGCAAATGAATTTTGCATGGGACTAATGTAACACATAGTACTAGAATGATAAAAATACTTAGCGAATTAATTGATTTCATTTTTTTTTTATGGAACTAGCATGACATATGAATTTGCTAACATAAAACATAGGTCTTAGCATATGGAAGTTCCTAGCGTGCAAAGGATATAAACTACCACATGACTAATTAACACTGCATTGTTTAAACACATGGCACATGCATTTTGGATTGTGTAACTACATAGCATATAAAAATTCTCAAAATATAATTGTAAAACACATAAGATCATTCACTTTAACACATACGCATAAGCATATTCATTTGAGCACATTGACATAAGCGCATACATGTTATTCTCCTTTTTTCTATTTGTTATTTTCGGGTAAAGAGATGAGAGAAAGAGAAAATAGGGCGATTGGAGTTGGTTCGTGTGTGTTAGGTTTGGGAGGGCTCGGGTAGGGGTTTTAGGCTAATGTGTGCTCGGGTAAGCTTGGTTGGGGTTGGTTTAGAGCTCGGGTAGGCTAGTGAGGGCTCAGATATGCTAGTTTAAGATAAGTGGTACTCAATTTAGGCTAGGTTAGGGTTGATTTAGGGGTCAATTTAGAATAACATAGGTGTGTTGGGGTTAAGTTAAACTGATGTGTATGTGTAGTGAGTTAAGCTAGGGTTTCGACTAGGAGTGTTAGGATTAGGTGGTCCTTGGTTTAGATGGGGTTTAGACTGAATTGGGGCATATATAATTTAAGTTTTAGTTAGTTTATGGTGCTTGCAGGTTTTCGAGTTGGGTTTATGTTAGAGCTTAATTGGGTTTTAGGTAGAATGAGAATTAGGATTGGTTTTAGGTTTTAGGTCGGGTTAATCGGCTAGGGTTTAGTGTTGGGAGTGGTGGAAGTAAGGGTAGGTTTTGAGTTTTAGTAAGGTTTTGAGTTGGGTGGAAGTGAGGAGAGGCCTTAAGTTGAGTGTGGTTTCAGGTTGTGTGAGAAAAGGGGTAGGCTTTGGGTTTTGAAAGGTTTTCAGGTTAAGTATAAGAGTAGGGTTTTTGAGGGTGTGAATGTATTTCTCAGGTTAGGTAGAAGGCTAGGATTTGCGAGTGTGTGAGTGTTATTATAGGGTTAGGTGGAGGGATAGGGCTTTTGATGGTGTGAGTGTGTTTTTGGGTTGGGCAAGAAGGGAGGTAGGCTTTGGGTTTTAAAAAGGTTTCAGGTTAGGTAGAAGTTAGAGTGGGGCTTAGGTTTGAGTGTGGTTTTGGGTTAGGTAAAATGCTAGGGTTTGTGAGGAGAGGGGATGGTAGAATGAGGTGGTTTAGTTCGACCATTATAAAAAATAAATAAATAAATAAATAAATAAAAAGAAAGCATGCAACACAAATCCCTCGTAATCATATGGTTTCCATCATGTAAGAGCCAAATTGAAATGGAGGAGTGTAAGAAATTATACCTTACTTTCTTTGATAAGTTGATGGATGAAGTCTTTGCTCCTTGGATAAAGTAGTATTTCTTGTCTTTGCTTGGAAGCCCTCGGCTTTATGAAGGGATGAGGAGAGAAAGGGTGTAGAAGAGCAACATTTCAGTTTGAGAGGTAAGGAGAGGGGGCCAGGGCTTGGGACAAGTGAGAATGAAGAGGTTTCGGTTTCTTGGATGGGTAATGAAGGGAGTGGTCCACGGTTTGGATGGGGTGAGAAGTTATGTGGGTGGGGTTTAGGGGGTGGAGGGAAAAAGGGGGAAGTGGTTAATGGAGGAAGAGGGGGAAATTTTTATAAATGAAGGATAATTTTGGAATTTGAAATTGGATACTTATGGTGGTTAGGGTGAAAAACAAAATGGATCTCATTTTGAAGAAAACAAAGTAAGGAATTCACTGGTCCAATCCAGTTTGAAAAAGAATTTCTCTAGCCCAAGTTATGTCAAGTTGATGTGGTCAGGTGGTTACAAGGTAGTTATGGTGTTTATAACCAAAAATTTTGACTTAGTCTCATTTAATAAAAAAAATGAAGAATTTATTCATACAATTGGTTTTGGTCTAAGTGTGTCTTATATCAAGATATTTTAGGCTAAAGTGGGCCCAAACCTTATGAGAGAAAATTTGTGGATTTTGAGTTGGATTTTTAGGATGTTTTAATGGATTAAATTATTTTTTTTATTATTTAGATTAAGCTTGGTTGAAGTTTGATTTCATTTTGAGTCACTTATTTGAAATTATTTTTTATTATTTAAATTTTTATTTTCTCTCTCATGATTATTGTTGACTCAACAGACCCCCCAAATAGAATCAATTTAACCACGGAGAGGTTCATTGAAAGATTTTGACGATATGAACACACTGGCGAAGTTCATTTTTAAAAACAATGATTCGTTGAAAAAATTTTATTTGAGACAATTTTTCATACATCAAAACCCTAAGTGCAAAATTTTACATAAAAAAGTGTCTAGTGACCACTAAACTTCTTTGCATACTCCTTAATTATGATTATGAAGATTATGCAACTTACATAATGTAATTTCAATCACTAGATTGGCCCTTGGAGAAAACGATAATTTTAGGGCTTGAAGAAAGCATTGATCATGCATGAAAATTTAAATTAAAAACTTTTATGTAAAAATTTTAGTAAATGATTATCAAACTTATTTGCTTGGTTTTTATATATCACAATAAGCATCATATAACTTTCAGAATAAAGATTTGAATCCTACAATGATCATGGAAGAGAAAATGATAATTTTGAGGTTTATGTTAATGAAGTCTGATTTTAGGATAATTTTAGGGTTTAGTTAATATTCTTTTATATTTAAAGTTTGTTTTAGTTTGATTGATTTCAATTTTTATTTAGTTAGATTTTAAGGTTTAGTTCAAGATTATGCTCAAGTGCGACTAAATTAAAAACAAGACACGGAGAGTAGTTGACAAAATAATGTGATCAACGGAAGGTTGAAGTGTTTTAAAAGGTACATGGAAGAATACTTTCATATGTACCTCACTTGGCATGAACTGCACATGGAAGAATACTATACGGAATAATACTATGTAGCCTCACTTGGCATGAACTGCAAAGGCATGAACTGCAAATGGAAGAATACTATATATGGATCATACTATTGAAGGAGATGATTTTACATTGAGATGATTTCACATGGATCAAATTTCACATGAAGACTACAAATGAGGCTACATATGAAAGTAAACTATACATGGAAGAAACTATATACATAGAGCATACCACACATGAAGAAAATTTCTCATTGAGGAAATTTTTACATGAAGAAGATTTCACATGGAGAAAATTACATCTGGAGAGTAAACATGGATATTACACATCCAGTTAAACTATACATGGAAAAAACTACCCATGAAGAAGATTACATATGGAGAAGTGTG